CGCCAAGTTTGCACAGGAGCGAGCCTCATGATCATGTGTGCGCGTACGCCATATGTGCAGGGGTCCATGTTCAAGTGCTTTCTCTGGAATTACTCGTTTGTCCTATTTTGAACATCTCCACTCTGCGAGCTGCGGCTGAGGCGTGAGGTGGAGCCAAGAAGCACTACCCCTGCTGGTATTAAACGTTGCACTGCTGCAAATCAAATTCTCGCAAACTTTCTGGAAGCACCCGCTGCGCAGGACATTAGCTGGCCATTGTCACTAGTTTGGTCCTGCTGCCTTTGACATTGAATGTACATCTACTTGGACTGTGCCAGAGCGGGTTGAGACAGGAGACCGAAATCACCCGGCAATGTTCGGAGTATACCAATGGAGAAGAATGGCTCTAAGGAGCCGCTCGCAACTCTCGTGGTGCCCCTTGTCATGCTCGTGGAACATCCCCTTGGTCGTGAAAAAAGGTCATAAGAAGCATTCCAAAAGGAAGCCACCAGCAGATTCAGATAGTGCTAGAACCGCCTACTCCGAGCCGAGGAAAGCTTCTCAGAACGGTAAGGTCCGCCGTCAGAACATGGCAGGTATTGCGTCATGACCTTGTCCATGGTCGCCTTGCAATACGTGTGTTTCCAGAAGCCCGACAAGACCTGGCCTGGGTTTCTTGGAGTTTTCTTTGCCCTTAAATCATGTAAAAAGGATTGCGGCTTTGTGAAAGGGTGGAAGGATGTACCTGCACCAGTGATCATCCCGGAAGCCCAAATCTCTTGTCAAAGCACAGGCCTCAAGCTTCGCTTGCAACGATTGTGACAGCCACCACCGGAGATTGACCATGTCCTTCACTGTGGCCTCACGTGATCCATATAAAGGCCTCTCTTACGATGCAGCTGTGCTCCCGGGGGGCTCCCGAGGCCCCTGGCGTTCACAGGTACGACACTCGACGAACAGGTCCTTCTTTGGCCAGCCGAGTCTCTCCTTCTCCTTCTGCTTCTTCTTCTTCTTCTTCGGGGCTTGGGGGCAGGGCAGGAGTTCCTGAACCCCCATGCGCTGGCGCGCCCGGGAACACTTGGGTCGAAAACGTGGGGAAACGGCTCCCCTGTAATTCAAACTTTGAATCAGGAACTGCGTTCACGAGGTGTTGTCGTTTACTCTTCCTTTCCCCTTCGGCAGTCCGAGAAAAACATGCAGGTCCTCATCTCAGTTTGGCGTGCGAGTCCCTCCCCGAATCTGTCTCTTTCACTCGCTCTCTCTCGCTCTCTCCACACGCTAAGCCCCCCCGAGAGGGAGCTGCCCCGAAGGGCCCGCGAGTCCCTTGTCTGGCCGGTGATGCCTTTACCTCCCTCACTCTCTCTCTCTCTTTCTCTCTCTCGGTCGGTCCCGCCCCGAATCTGTCCCTCCCTCTCTCACTCTCACTCTCACTCTCACTCTCACTCCCACTCCCTCTTTCTTCTTCTGCTGCAGGGTTTTCTCTCTCTCTCTCTCTCTCTATCGTGGTACTGCCATGAGAGCCGCCAAGAGTGGCCTCAATAAGCTTGGAGTCTGCGACCGTTTGCTGTTAAAAGAGAACACTATTCATTTGTAACGATTCAGAACTTCAGCCCGTGTCTATGTCAAAAGAGTTTTCCCAACACAACTCATTGGAGTTCGTGGCTGCTGAGAAACGATCGACAGCTTTAGGACGTTCGACAGATTCAGCACCTGTAGTCATTTCAGCTCAGCGGCAGTGTTGCTTTTCTGGAGCTGCAGCACCTGCTCCACAAAGTCCGCAAAAGAAATCCGACAAACCTGCGGCTGGATTCTGTTAGAACAGTACCCGCCGCTCCGCATGAGGCACTACTTTGGTTCAGCCCTCCGGCACTATCGAAATCTCTCTGGCACGTTCCCGTCAGCTCAAATCCAGGTCCTGCTTCTCCGATCCGGATTAATGCCGCTCTATGGAAGGCGCTAGGTAACTCCAGTTCGTACAGAATCCTTCACGGCGGAAACCAAAGCCGAAAGCTACCCTTCGTAGGGTTGAGATTCCAAGCATTGCAGGCGTGTTTCTTGGAGAGCTGCCACTGTGCAGGTTGAAAATCAGCCCTTGTGCCTGACCCTCGGCATCGCCGTATTTGTCAATACCTCAGCTGCGCTCCGACATGTGGCCAGGCATTTGCTAATTTTGCTGTCCGTTTGATCAGACGCATGTCCCCGTATACAGCTTCGGTGTATTGCTGACAGTCTCGCCTGAGGGGCTCATACATCCTAATGAGGAACGCAAGCAATCTTTAAGGAGATTTCAAGGACCTCAACTAAGGCTTACCCAAGGCTTGCGTGCGAGGCATATTGGGGAAACTGCCCACCTGACCAACCCAGGAATCTGGGATCTAACGGGCTCACCTAAGGGGGTACGGAGTTGTGGGCTCACACGGTTTCCTGAGCGTGGGATGCGCAGCTTGTTTTGCCATCTTTGGTCGACGTCATGCTTGTGGCTGAGGCGATTGATGATTTCTAGTTAAAAACCTGCTCTTTTGAGATATCTTACTGGCATCTGCCCGGCACCAAAAGCCCGCAACTACCCACAGTTCCGGGGCCTCGCTCTTCGAAGATCAAGTCTGCAAAGTCAATCAAACTCGCCTCGAAGGCTTAGGGTTGAGGGTTTAGGGTTGCTAGACTCATGCTTGAAGCATCCATAGGTTCCTTTACCAATTCGTCTCGCTCGTGCTGCGCAGTTGGGGCTTGCAAGTCGATTTTGGGACCCAAGACGGCTCCACCTCGGCTTTGAAGACGAGGTGCTGTGTCAACGCCGACGTCGTTCAGAGCCCTCGCCACTTCCTATCGTTGGTCGGGAAGTTGATGATTTCTTGTTCCCCACCCTCGGTGTGGGGTTGTTAGATTTTAAACTCAACTCTTCTCCTCGCCCGGTCTAGTCCTCGCCCAACCCCAGTGCCCCAAAGTGTCCCTGGAGCGCCCAGCCCCAAAGTGTCCCTAGAGAGTGCCCAACCCCAGAGTGTCCCTGGGGTGCCCAACCCCAGAGTGCCAGAGTATCTCTATCCAGAGAGGGTGGGGATGTTCGAAGTAAAACAATTTTCGGCTCGAAGCCATTTGGGCTTTGGGGTGTGGTTCCCTGGATCTACCTAAGCATTCATGCACGGGAACGCCAAATCGACGGGCAAAGGCGCTTGTTCAACTCATTCAGGTTTATGGGCTTTGAAGCCAACCCCACATCCATGCACGCCTGTACTGAGAAGCTCTTGTGTCGTTCTGCATGTATCCCTATCTGAGTTTCACTGTGCAGCTGGCAACTACCCAGAGAAACAGATGCATTACATTCGGCAAAACATCGCCCAGGCAGATGTGATACTTCTCTAAGGAGCCGCTGGTGCCAGCCTTTCTTTATAGGGTTCTTAAGGGAGGGTGGTTCAAGGGGGGTATGTAACGCAAGGTTCCCCAATACTCCCCAACACCCCCTGGGGCTCCCTAAGCTTCCCTAAGGTTCCCTAGGGAACCCGCCCTCCTTTAAGAACCCTATAATTTCTGGGCTTCTTTGTAGAATGCCGGCCGAACGTGAGGCTACCATGTCTAGCGACGCTGGCACTGCTCTTCAGCTATTTTCAAACCATGCGATTGAAGAAGTGCATGGACGTTGGTTGTCACCACACGAACAGCAAAAAGAACAAGTTGTCATTGCATGTCATGATTTGTTGAGGCCTCGTCCCGTAGGATCTGGTAGAACTCGTGCTGGTCGACATAAACATCCGATCCTTGTGTGATTGGGGGCTGGGCACGGGCCTGGCTCGGATTTGGAAAGAGCCACCATGCCGGAATGTACCCGAGTTGTGTTACTTCTTTCGATACCTGACTGCGCAGCTTCTGTGCTGGCAACTTCCCAGCAGCACCCTAACTGAAGCCGATGAATTACAGTCCCCTCTGCTTAGGTTTGAGGCAGGATTAGTTGCCGCTCTCGTTTCCAAAGAATGAAGGACATCCGCGAGCGCACATGACCTTTACAGTCGTCTTTGGGCCTGACTTTCTACAAAAGACGACTGTTTGCTTCAGAGCCACCCGAAATTCAAGAAAATACGCCTCCCTTTCAGGGTATTAAGGGCTTGTCTCATATTTTTTGGGGATTGCAAAAGCAAATAGCAGAAGAGCCTATCTCCAGAACCCACCCAGAGGGTGACTCCACCGGGAGATGCCTAAGTGCCAGGGGGGCTGGTGTGTTGCAGATTGCCTTCGGGGGCTACCATAGGGTTTAGGGATTTTTGTTTAGGGTTTAGGGCCTTTAGGGGCTTGAGAACAGCAACGATGGACTGTGCAGGCAAGCCGCCGCCCATGACTCGCTGCAGTGTCTCTTTGACCCAGCTGACCTACGTTCAGACATGCCGCTGCTTAGTGCCTGTTCTCTATTTAATGTTGATAGCAGCAAGTGTACCATATGCCAGGCATGCACCCGCGTAGGATGCAGCTGGAGCTGCGATTGAAGGCATGTAGGCCTGGCAGACATTATGTCTGCCAGGCCTGCATCATGAACATGGCGTGGGTGGTGCAGATGCTGGGATCCATTGGTTGGCAGGAGGCCTTATGCTTTTGTGTAGTAGCAGTCTGCGCCGGTCCTGTCTGTGCACGCTGGGCAACCTGCCCCTTCCCTGCACACCCATCAAAACGGCACAGCCTGCAGCGATTCCTTCTCCGCAGCTGCCACTGCGGTGATTACCTCGCACATGACTCCAATCCTTAGAGTTTGTAGATGTTTGTCGATGTTTCTGGGGGGGCTCAAGGCTGGAGTCTTTTAGAGCTCAAACACAGCTTTGCCCACCGCTTCCTTTACCTCCGCCCCGAACTTTGCAAACCTTGCATAAAAGCTGAAGCAGCAAGCGGAACCAAGCACATGGCTCGTCCGCAGTGGCTTCACTTCGCCATCCCTCGCCCCTAACTTTGCAAGCCTTGCACCAAAAGCAGAGGCAGCAAGCGGAACCAAACACATGACTCGTCTTCACGTCTTCGGAACTGGCAGGTGTTTGCCAAGCATCAGCATGTTCATGATAGTGATGGAGGAGAAGATGATGAAGACGTACAGGCCGACCAGCGCAAGCCACAGCCTGACAAGGGATGGGCCTTGCCCAGTGAATCAAACAATGGCTGCAACGGTAGTGTCGGGTGGTTGTGTTATACTGGTGCATGACCTTCTGCCTTTCTTTCCCTCTTTCGCTAGGGCGTGAGGTCTCTCTCTCTCTCTGTCTCTCTCTCTTTCTCTCTCTCTCTCTCTCTCTCTGAAGAGGCATTGAGGATTGGAGCGTCGTGGGATGACCGTGCTTGACTTGCTTACAACTTACCCCACAAGACGGTAGCATGCTTGATCCCATAGCGCATCAAGTCGGACCATGCCAGAAATGAAGCCTTTCCGTCCATGTCAGCTCCCAAATCACATCAAGATGCTGTTCGCTGACCATTGCAGATACGAGGTCCCACACTTCGTCCAACAGGGTGCCGAAGATGAAGAAACCTTTGAAGGCATCGACCCATACAGGACACCTAATGACCTAACACAAAGCGAAGTCCCGAGAGACGTCTAGAAGCACTTGCCTAAACTCCCGATCTCCTCATCCCAGCTTGCACCCTGCTTTCTGGACCTCTTCGGTTCGCATGGCTTGTTTGACTTGCAAAACTTTGTGCATGTTCAGCGCGCGTTCTTTTAAAGGAGCGGACACAGTATTGTCACGGATGCCACAGACATGTACAGGTGATGTACACTGGCCGGGGGCGATGCACTGCAAAAGACCATTGAAAGCTACACATGCGCCCTCTCAGGATGCCAACGCTTTGAATTTCCACGCGCTTGTTGCCTCAGGCTTTGGGCTGTGTTTACTGGCCCGTTCATGGTGCACTAGGCCTTTAAACCGTTCCTTTGTTTGCAGCCGCAAGGTACTCTGCATGGAGAAGAGGACGGTGTCGAAATATGTTTTGCCGCACTCGGTCCCCTTCAGCGACTGTGTGAAGGCAATGGAGAAAGCCTGTTGCACAGACCGAACGAAGCTGAGGGCCACTTACTTGTTCACTGGACACGAAGCAGGCGCTTCTCTTACATTTTTCCCGAGTGGCATACAGCAGCAGTATCAGCAGCGCCAGCGTGAACACGACAGAGCGCATTGCTGCCACAATCGCCTTAGCAAGTAAGGGCGCCAGGGGGCAGCATGCTTCCAAAATCCCCGGCCATGCAAGCTAACCATATCTAAGCCCTGAGCATCTCGGGGTTGAACCCATAATAGAAAGCGCACCAAATAGTAGGATTCCCTTTTCATCATAAACCCAAGAAGGTATCCCTAGTTTCGGAAACCCCCATCGGAATCAATGGCCTTCACCAAGATAAACAGCTCCGGCATGAAGCGCAGCAACCTGACCGGCTGCATTGCTGCCCAGGCAATTTCTGGAGAAGCTGTCCCGGCGGTCGCTTGATCTATATTGAACTTTGAACTTGGAACCCTAGCAAAACTTGTATATGTTTAGCTGCCTCTTAAGAGTTATAGTATCCAAAAATTACAGCTTACTCCCGGGGCTAACAAGGTAGCGAGTTCGATGATGCAGCTGTGGCAGATGTAGGGGTAAGGTCCACTTGGCATATGTGTAGGTGTGAAAAGGGCCCGGTCAGAGAGTTGTTCAACGCATGCTTCCCAAAGTGGAGGACCCCAACAAGTGGTCTCCGTGCACACCGGGCCCCTGGGCTAGCAAACTTTGCCCGGACACCCACAGACCCTAGTAAAATGCAATGTAGGCTTCTCACGGCAGCTTCTGTTATCATTCCACCAGGCGCCAAAACCATGCCGTGGAAGCCTTCACTAAAGTGCCCCAGACTTTCGGACAAGGCCCACATTGCCACAGCCAAGGGTTGCACGGTCTTCTGACTGGAAAACTGGCTATCGGTGCTCCTCTTTGGGACTCATGTTCTGCAGGGGCCCCCCACCTGTCCTATAGGTTGCATGGATTTTCCTGAAACAATCTTGACGCTGGTTCTGCTACAGCTTGGGGCGATTGCCCCCGCAGCATCCTTTGTCCGCAGGTCTGCAGGTGTAGCGTGCACCGTGCAATGTGCACTGAAATAACACTTGGATAGGTGTTTAGTAGACTTATCAGTGGGGTTTTAAGTACCCATGAACCTCCAAGCATAGCACAAAGCCAGTGCCGGCCTGGCCATGCGCAACAGTCGTGTGAGGCGCAAGAGCCGGGCGATTCGCAAAACCTCAGGCCGTGAGGAGAACACGTTATCTTACTTTACTACATCTGCAAATTTAATGGTAAGTATAATCATGCCTTTAATAAGAAATCAGGCAATATGGCATCAAGTAGCATCACATAATCGGATCGCACAATCATGATATGACAAGAGAGCGGAGCCGCCTTATTGCCGAGAGGTGTGGGGCTTGTCCTAGCCTTGCTGGCAAGGAGCACTTGCATCAGCTGGCAAGCCTGTAACGATCAGTGCCAAGGGCTTTTAAATTTTTGTGGGTTTCGACTCTCATACTGGCATATGCGGGCGAAGCCTTTGTGGGTTTAGGGACACTCTGGGGTAGTGGGAGGACATGCATCCATGATGGTGGAGATGCAAAGTGCTGTGACCCTTCCAGAGCTCTTGGCTGAATGCTTGATTCAAGTTGCAGCGACAAGGAACTCTTGCACTGCATTGCTCGGCAAGCTAGATCAGCCACTTATGCTCGCATTTTGACGAGACACCGGCTGGCGACTCGTGGTGAACAAGCAGCTGAAACAAGGGTACCAGCCAAGTCCTCGTTTCAGAGCAGAAGCTGAAACACTAGCAGGCTTCGAGGCGGCTTGGGTATCCCAATTCTAGCCCCGCATGGTGCTTCTGCTTCGAGCGCATGATTGGCCAGCATCGCGTTTGCAAAGACGCATGGATGCTTTGCGCAGACCCGCGTGCCAACAAGCACCGCAACTCCGGTTACACCTGAAGCGCTGCTGGGAAGCTGCAAGACCATGGCCATCACCAGGAAAGAGTCAAAAACGAGCCACATGTCCTCTCGTGGTGGGGGTGTCAAGATCAAAGGTCCCGGGTTGTGCCCACGACTTGATGCTTGACCAAAGGCATCCTTGAAGCAGTATGACTTGAGCTTCAATGCAAGGAAGCGGAGGATCAACTCCAGGAAGAAGAATGCACAAAAGAAGTGCTCCACCCAGAAGAACACGGAGGATGAGTTCAGGTTTACCTGAGCATTTCATCCCCTGCGGCCAACAGGTGCCGGGTGGGCATGCTTCCATGAAGATAGAGCTCGGAACTTGAGCCGAAGCCTCTACGAGCCTGCAAGCATCTCAGGCCCCGGCGATATCTGGATTGTAGTCGGTGTCAATTGCGAGCCACACGGCATAAATGGCAATCCTGATCTCAATGCATCGTGTGATTAGCTGCTACGGCGCTACGGCCCACAAGGTGCTGTCAGTGCCAACGATAGTCTTGGACGATTCGAGTGGAAGATGCTCACTTTGGTCGGGCTATGTTGCTTGTATCATGGCAGCCGATCTTTTGTAGTTTTGAGCATTTCGAGCTGTTGTGGTGGCAGTGCGCTTAAGAAGTGAAGCTGGGCAGTAGCCAACTTTCGCAAGCTATGCCGACACCTGTTGAAACTGTTGAAAGACCAAGCATCATGGCCATGGTCCCCTTCTCAAACGCTGCCGTCCTGTGAAGAAGATAAGGGGTTTAGGGTGAGGGATGGTGAGGGCAAGCCCCAGAAACAGACAGCACATTCGTCACGCATAAGCACAAGGTCTGAGGCTCAGCTCCATGTTGCTACACGTCGCAGCCCACCGCAGGAAACCCTAGCCCACATCTGACATCTCAAACTTCACCGCTTGCAAGCCAAAGGGAACCCGAAGTTCGGATCTCGGTACTCTGTTCTGCCTGGCGATTTGCCGAACGCAGCCGGTCGTGTGGTACTTCCCGAGATCTTCCTGTCGGATGGCCGCATCGTGTTTCGGAGTTGAAGAGCCTACAGTATAAGCTGCTACAGAAGCTCACCCAGTGGACTCGTGGAGAAACGTCACCTTCCCGCGTCTTCCCGCTTCACTTTGCGAGTCTTTGCCAGCAGAAAGCGCATGATAGAGCTCTATACTCGGGGTTGAGCCAGGGGCATCTAGCCACGCCCAAACCGTCCAAGGCCCAGGAAAGACCAAGGCCTCACAGACTGAGAGGTTCAAGTCAGTGAAGAGCTGCCCACGAAGAACAGCCTGCAGCCGTGGGCAGGCGTGAGTCTGCGATCCTTTTCGCGGGCTGGGAGAGCTTGATGATCGGGTTCTTAAGGGAGGGGGGTTCATGGGCTACGGAACCTTAGGGAGCCTTGGGGAGTAGTAGGGAGTTACTAGGGAACCTTGGGTTACATACCCCCCTCCCTTAAGAACCCAGGAATGTGATGTAGCCTGAGCTTGGCCAGGCTTCTATGCAAGAACTTTTCCGCCTAGGACAGGAAGGGCTCATAACAGCTGGTCGAAGAATGTCGAAAAAACCCTGGACCCCTGCTCTACGAAGCCCGCCTCTGAGGCATGCCAGACAAGCGTGAGGCGGTAGCTTTTAAAAACACTTGTGGGAACTTATATGTGTGGTTCGAATCTCCCCCTACTCCTGATAGGCTCAAAGCTGAAGTGTGACCGGCCTTGATGTCGGTTGAATTTCTGAAGACCTGGCCCTGCAAGGCCTGTCCAAGGGCTTGGAGAAGCGCTGGTGGACGGACCATCGGAGACCCGAAAAACGAACAAACTGTCTCGCTCTCCAGACGCCCTGAAAGGCCCGCAATGGTTCCCATATAATATACATATAATGATACACTCATAAAAACAGAATATAATACAATATAGTAGAAGATAGTATAATATAATTTAATCTGATATGATATAATATAATATAATATGACATAATGTAATATAATACAACATAAAACATGATATAGTATAACATAAATATATACGACCCCATTCCCCCACGCCTCACTCGGAGGTCGGCTGGGTATTGACCGACTGGAACAAGGGGTCCGCGCATTCCCATCCTCAGGGTCTTTATGCTTGAGGCGACAAGAAAGCGACTCAGTCAAGCTTTTTGCGGTGCTTGCGTTTTTTCTTCTTGCCTCGCTTTTTGCCATCTTTCCTGATTCGTCCTTCCACGCGCACGTCTTGTGATGGCCACGACCTGTTTGGCACGTTGGCCGATAGGCCTCATTTACAGTAGACGCCCTGCCCTGGATGGGGCTGCGATGCGATGAGTGTGCACAGTCAAGCGCTGGAATGAACATCGAGTGCATCTTGAACCCCTGAATGTGAGTTTACGCCTGCCGCAAGCGATCATGTCTCGCGTTGACGCAGAAGCTGGTCAAGTATCCCTGGAGTGCCCAGAAGCCCACTGCGAGACCCGCCGAGTATCTCTGGCCGTAGGGTGGGGATGATCGAAGCGAATATGTTATTGTGTTTGAAGGTGTGTGTGCGTGTGCAGTCAACCGGGGATGGTGTGGTGGCTTTGATGATGCACTTTCGCCGAGCATCCTTGCCCTCGGAAACCTCGCTAAGATACAGTGTTTCGTTGGGTTCTCATCGAAAAGGCCCCATGTCTTACGATGTTGGTTCCCTAGCTCTTTTGTTGGTTTGATTGTTGTGTTCGTTGTTTTGCTTCTTGTCTGGTTAGCTTGCATTCGTTTCTCAGTTTGTTCGTTGGCCATTATTACGGCCTGATTGTGCTTCCCAAGTTTTCTTCCAACACTTACCAGTACCGCTGGAAACTAGGATGCAGCAGCACTATTTATGCTAACACCCCCGTGTTAACACGAGGGAGCCGGAAGAGTTGTTGTTGCTGGTGTTGATGTTGGTTGAGGTTGCTGTTGGTCGTGGTTGCTCCGTCGTGTAATATGATGTCCAGGCTGGAAATGCTGCCCCCTCCATAAACCCTAAACCCTAAACCCTTTTGCAACTGGACTGCGGACAACTACCAGGGATACTAGGGTTTAGGGTTTAGGTCTTAGGGTTTAGGATGGTTTAGGGTTTAGGGTACCCTCACTCAGCCTCGGCTAATACCCTGTACGTTGCCGAGCCAAGTTGCGGGCATCTTCGAGATGAGCACCAATCTATGCTCTTCCCACGTCTCCCCGAATCATTGTGGGAAAGCTTACAACCCTCAACCCTAAACCCTGCCAGAATCCTGGGCATGCCCAGCCTCTTGTGGCAGAGACAGGGCGGCTGGCGGCAGCCTCACCGAATCCAGCTCTGGGATGATTTTCATGAGAGTTTGTGTTGCGGCCTAATCTGCATTGAAACGTCGCATCCTTAAAGCAGCGACTCTGAGTCGTGAGATATACCTCACTTATAGTCGCAGTTCATGACAAATATTGATTCGTTTTGCTCGTGCTAAAAGACCCATGACAATGCATCTGGGGGGAGTGACTTGCTGGAAGAGCTACTCCAGAACCCTTCTCAAGTATCTAAGCGTGACAGTGTAAGGCAACTGCGGAATGTTACGCAATCTCCCCAGTAGATGACCTGCGCGCACATGGCACAAAAAACCGGGTCGCTTGCAAGGAACTAGCACCTCCCGGTTCCCTAACCCCTAAACCCTAAACCCTTCAGGAAAAGCCCACCTAGGGCCCATCATAAGCCCCCAAAGCCATCACCGAGCTGAGCTGCGGGGTCTGGCCTCCCGCGTTACCTTCCGAGCTTCGATGGTTGAGCCATGGAACACAGGACTTGGGGTGTTGGGTGAGGTTTAGGGTTTAGGGCTTTTTTTTAGGGGTTTAGGGTTCAGGGTGCCATTCAGGCTTCGCTGCTAATTAGTAGCTGGTAGCAGAAGTAGCGGCAGAACATCATGGGCGGTTGAGTTGGGATCGCACTCCCTAAGGAGGTTCATGGGCATCACTGCAAACATGGATGTCACTTGCACCCTTGCCTTCCGGAGCCTTGTTGCAGGCGCGCACCGGGGTGCTGTGAACCTGATCTGCTCGACGGGCCGCAAGGCACAACCGGATCCGGATTAGCCGGTGTAGGTTCTTGCGATTTGAATGGGTTTGTGATCTGACCAGTCCTTTTCGCGCGTGGTGTTCTCGAGCAGGGGATGTTTCAGAAGGAGCAAGCTTGCACCCCTTTCCTGGAGGATAGGGACGAACACTCCGAGAAGGAACTGCGCAAGTAGCTGTTAGGGAGGCCAAGTAATACAGCTGATTGCAGTATCAATCCCACAGCAACACCCAAGCACATGCAACAGAAACAAGGTTAACTATTGAACATCAAGCCAAATCCTGCATCGATGGGGCGGTGTGAGCATCCGACTTCCAGCAGATGTTCACAAAAGAACCTCAGCTTCAACTTGGAAGACCTCGGATAAGCCCTTGACCGTCCTTGAGAAGTGTTAGCCTGGATGCCCAAACTCATGGAGTTCAATGTGTCTCAGAATAAGAGCACCGGCAATATGCCCTTACATAGGAAACCCGCAGTCCACAAAGAAACGGCGGCAGTGGGCAACTTGAATGGCAGCACGGGCACGCCGGCTTAGGGGTATGCTGTTCCAACTCACAGACTCTCACAGACTACAACCATCGACTCATCGACCATTCAAACCGTCCCTCATGGCAACAGTAGGGCCCGGCAGTTGGGATTCAGGGCTCCTCCGCATCATGAAAGGCAAAGAAAAATTTGCCCAAGTGCTGAGAGAGTTGTCCGCGATCGCCTGGCTGGTGGCCTGCCGGTAGGGTTACAAAAATAGCACTCATGTATACGAATTGTAAAACCAACATATATACAGATGCAATGTACATCGTGTAGAACATGTCAATGTCTACTGCGCAGTATACGGACGAACCACGTGAGGCTTCAGTCTGTCAGTCTGTCTGTCCCTTCCATATGAGTGGAGGTGGGATGAATTTGAACCTGTCTGCGCCGATGCGCTGTGGCGCCGCTCACATTGGTTGCGCTCTGAACCCAAACCCTAATAACAAACCCCCCCCTAGGCCTGAAGCGCCCGGCTGAATGAACCTTTAAACGCCCTGACCCCTAAAGGACCGGGCTAAGCACGGGAGCGGAGCAGCTGGAGAAATGGTGTGGCGCCGATTGAGCAGATGCCGGACACGCCCAATGAAACCACCGGGGTTTGTCAATGTTGCAGCTGAATTACTTTTCATGCCGATGCCCTGCTGCCTAAACCGAAGCCCTACACAGAGCTTTTCAAGAGCAGCCTGTGAGTTCTGAGCCCGAGATGGGCTCATGATGCTGCAGGTGCAGGGACCCCGAGCCCTCTTAACCTACAAGGCCATCGTGGACAAGACAGTTGCGCCACCAGTGATTCATCCCGGTGACCGGCAGCAGTCTCGCAGAACAACTGCTCCTACAAGTTGCGTGAACTCAACAGCGACAGACACACAGCCCATGTCGTCCAGAGTCGGAGGCGCATCTTGAGATGCTCGTATATGTGTGTGTGTGTGTGTGTGTGTGTGTGTGTGTGTGTGTGTGTGTGTGTGTGTGTGTGTGTGTGTGTGTGTTTGCATCTGCACTTCCATAGCTTTGCCTCGCATTAGCTACCCCCCTGGTCGGCCCGTTTTTAAGCTATCCGAAGAATACTCCCCAACACGATCCTCTCGTCGGAAGTCAGGTATCAGCTCCCAAGAGCCTACCTACAGGGTAAGCGAGCCTGGCTCGTGTGCTGGCTCGCCTTCAGGGTCGTTTTCAAGTTTGGCCACCAAGAGCTTCTCTAGGGCTAGGGTTTAGGGTTTAGGGTTTTTTCCCACCCGACTAGCCGGCAGCAATGCGGGGTCATCGTTACGGCAACCGGAGAAATCTGCCGGGCTAGATGCCAAGGCTTGCCCAGGGACATTAGGGCAGGACATGTTGGGACTGTTCAGGGAAGGGGGGATCCCATCAGAGACAAAATCGAGCCAACAATCAGAGGTCTTAGACCACAATAGCAACAAGGGTTTAGGTTTTTTTTTTAGGGTCCTAGAAGTACGGGGCCTCGCAACTTTTGGGTCCTGAAATGCCTCGACCGCTATGCCAGAGTCCCTCAGGTGCAGTGTTATTCCTACTATGTAAAAAGAACATCTGCAATCTAAATTGAAATCTTACCGCGAATAGAAACTGGCGATCAGCTTATCATTACAATTAAAGCTCTTCGCAAGACTACAGGATCTACAAGGCGCTGTGGACACGTGACCTAGTCGCTGAGGCCGATGCGGCGCTGTATGGGCACGTAGTGGATTTCCTCAGGAGCCATATCCGACTCTTGCACAGACTGGGCAATCATAGCAAATCATGGAAAAGTGCGCATATCCACACTAGTACCATTGTTGTACACTGTTTACCACATGTATGCAGTAAGAAAGAATGGGGCATCGGAGCCAGAATTGATAGGATCGAGGTTCGTGGGACGCCTCGAAGGCGAGAAGCTGGAATCCTCCGCCTGCACGCGGCTTGGCAATTCAGGGCCAGGAACTCTTCTCGACGTCTGGTCCCCAGCCTGTAGGGCTTGGGGTTCAGCTCTATGCACGACTTGTGGGATGTGATGCCTAGGGCCTGGGGCTCTATGACTTCAGCACGCTCGTGTGACGACCTTCTGCGTCGGTGTCGCACTCGCTTGACGGAGCAAGTCATTCTCTTGCACAAGGTGCTCGTACTCCGACGTGAGGAGCGCCTGCAGCGAGAAAGGTGAGGGGTTGGAACTGGTTGGAGGCTACAGCCTGCTTATTTCCCCTCGCCTCAAGGCTCTGCAAAGGGTTTAGGGTTTAGGGTTTACTGTGCTGAGCTGTGTAGGGCCCAGTTAGGATATGATGCCAGTTGGTCCTGCAATCTGTCTTACTGTCCACTTGCTGCCAGGTCGCGACATATCGATAAAAGGATTCCACCACGGGTGGACGCAGGCTCAGGGGCTCCTTAAACCAAACCCTTGGCTTACTTCTGAGGGGATTTATGAGTCAGGCTCTCATCCTCATCTTCAGATCCTGAAAAGCGCAAGGCTTCGTGACATCGGAAGAGAAGCGTTTGACTCCAAAAGACAGGGCCGCTGTTGCACCAGACGTGTGCGAGTGAAACAACATGACTTGCAAGAAGTACAGGCATGCCACAAACTGAGCCCCAGATTATACTTGTGCAGCATGGCGCTGGGGGCAACATCTTTATAATTGCTTCAAGACCAGATTCCGCAGGCATGCCCGAATGGCTCAAGCAGTGAGGGCGCAAGATTCAACCAAGTGCTTTATCTTTCTGTCTTCCACGCTCCACTATGGCGTATGCACTGCACGAGAAGGGCTGCTTCTGAAACTCGTACCGCCTATGGTAGTTCATGATGTCCCATTGTATGTAGGCACGTGCAAACCGCACATGATCTTTAATCTCTTGCAGAGGTCAAGCCAAAATTGCCTGCGGCGTGCGTCTTTTTCCCTCCCTACCAAGAGCCGATGCATTGCCTTCTCACAACCTCTATGTCCGCTCATGTTGGCATGCCCTGGCGATGGTGACAATCCAGTCTGGGCTAGCTTGCTTCGACAGATGTTTTTCATGGCTTGCCGCCTTTTGGCTATGCACTGGCTTTGGCCATGAGCTCGCGGTACGTGGCGTACATCTTTCTTGATCTCATTATCCTTGGTGGAGCTGCCCCATGCTTCGAACGAACCTAGCGGCGGCTTGTGGACAAAGCGGCGTTCGATCTTGTGCTCCGTATTCTACAAAACCTGACCTCTCATAGGCCAAACACCGAAGAGATCCCACATGTCACAACGCCGTGCGTCAGCAGCGCTGTGAGTAGAACCACGGCGACGAGTAGCCTGGAGTCGGAAGCGGCCCCTTGACATCTCCAATCTCTGTCATGATCAAATGCTATAGCAGTTACAGTCATCCTTGAATAGATAGAATTTGGGCTTCGGGGGGGTTTTGTTTTTTCGGGGTTTTTGGCGTTTTTCCACGTTTTTTCGAGGAACGCATACATAGAAACCCATACATAGAGTATTTGAGGAACCCATACATAGAATGAACCCATACATACTTTTGGAAGCTCGTTGGGGGGGGGCCTCCTGCTGGCCTCTTGGCTTCGTGTCCCTCGCGTCTTCTCGTGGCTTGTTGGGGCCTCTTGTCGTTGACGTGCCTTTGTCCTCTAAATTGCAGGCTCCAGAGCCGTTAGATCAAATATTCTATCTTGAACACTCAAACTTCTGAGAACTCTTTATCAGTATTGCCCGTGCTCCTGCTCTTGCTGATGCTTGCTGTTAGAGGCCATGCTGTGGGCCTCACTTGCGCACAGGCCTCCAGCCATCATTCTCACTGGCTCATGCTATTGTTGTCACTCATCCTTGCTATTACTATTACTACTATTATTATAATTGCAATTCTTCTTCTTCTTCTTCTTCTTATATTGTACTATCAAGAGCGTCGGGAACTTCCCCCTTTTGGTCAAGCGGCCCGGTGGCCAGAATGGGCTTTTGGCGCCAGGACTGCAGAAGCTCCTCATTCTGGGTCTCATGCGTCTTTGGGCGGTTGGGCAAGCCATGGTTTCCCACCAACCTAGCCCAGGCTTTTGTGTGAGAGTCCCCCAAGAAGTCTCTGCTGCATGACCTGTAGCATAGCATCTGGGCAAGGATGTGATGGCCGAGGGATCTTCGCTTTGTGACATTAAAGCATGGTGCAACCGGGAATGTGCAACAGGGGCGACACTTGGTGGATAGGGCCACAGCCTGGCACCTGCCTTAAGTCCCCTGTTATTCTGTGGCAAAAAACAAAGGCTGATGCTAGTAGGCTTGACATCCCACAGCCAGGGCCTTCGAGATAAAATTTGCGGGCTTTTAGGGAGTTTAGGGATTCTAGAGCGTTGAGGGGTCTTTGATGGGTCTTTCGGGGAGTTTAGGGCGTAGGGTTTTTTGGTGGGGGGCTGATTAAGGGTTTTTAGAACAGTTCGGTGCTCTTGGCTGCGAATACGAACCCTAAACCCTAAACCCTAAACCCTAAACCCTAAACCCTAAACCCTAAACCCTAAACCCCATGTAGGCTTGGGGTCTGATGGCATCTGGTGGCCAAGGGCCCCGCGCGCATTTTCTCGTCACCTCGCCCTTCCAGCACCTGCGCCGCCACTTCCCTGACCCCATATCATGACACACGATCATCTGTCATAGTATATAACAATAATAATATATATATATATATATACATGTATGTATACAACCATGCATAGTGGAATCTAAGAAGAACACACAGAGAGAGACATATATATATATATATATATCTATATACACACCAGTGTATGACAATATATTCTGGTACACAATAACATGATGCCCCCAGAATGCTTCGCTCTTGCCGGTCTGTCATTCACACATTCGCTCCTTTTGGTGCAGAAGGCCCAACACGGCAAACAGAGCCCCCCTAGCCGTTCTCCTCGCTACTCAGCTTGAGATGGCATACCAGTATGGTTCCTTCTTCCTTCTGCAACATCAGCAATTCTCACTTTTGCAGGTCGCTCTTCAGCTTGTGGTTTTTTTGTTCCGCTCGGACCCATGCCGCGCGCCTCTGGGAGCGAAGCCAAGGAGGACCCCACCACCGCGCTCAGAATACCTGGGTGGCCAGTTTGGGTCTGAGGGCCGGGGCCCAAGAAGACTCGAGGGTCACTTTTTGATCAGCCCCATCCTCGCTGTACAGAGGATGCTGGGCTGGTTGAAGTCGTCCACCCTCTCAGGTCGTATTCAAGGCACTCCAAGGCGCGCCGAAGAGAGAGGACGCCAGCAGGAAAGGGCCAAACGGAACCTCGACTGCCTTGCTTGTTCAGGGTTTGGGGTTTAGGGAGCAGAAAAGGGTGCTGGGATCTTGGACCACGCCCCGCATGCCGCTAGCAAACCTCTCGAACCCTCAAGCCCTGTTTGCCAGGCTGCTGCCAATCCCATGGCCTTTGCAGTTGTGGGGATTGGTGCAAATCGCACCATACCTTAGCTGCCTTAGCTTAAGCTGAGGACTGCGGCGGTCACTGTCACCAGACAAGGCTTGAGTGGGCCAGGGGCCTCCTGAGCTGGACCGTAAGCCCCAAAGCCACGTTTCAACTGCCGCCTGTTGTTCTTAAGTATTAGGGCTTCAAAAATTCCTACAGCAGCTTGGTCCAAGCTGCAAGTGACGCTGAATGGCTCCGTCTTCACTGCCTCGCCAGTGAAAGCCGAGGATTTCCCAGCAAACTCGACTTCTCGCAACAACCCTAGGCCCTCTGCCTAAGCTCCAAGAGGCATGGCCTCTTTGGAAAAGACGTGAACCTACCTTCAGCTTCTTGCGCCCGAAGCCCTTCAACCTTTCGATGCAGGAAAACCCTTCCCTTCAAGATCTTGTGCTTCAAGCCCTTCAGCCGGTAACGTACTGCAAGTCCCGGTCTTCATGCGAGCCTGCGCCACAGCCTTGAAGACTGGGAACTGCGCCACGACATTCTCCTTGACATACCTGTGTGGGGGCTTAGGGATGCTTGGGGTGCGTGGGGAAACATGCAGAAAACAAAGTGCACACCCTTTTATTGCCCGCATAGTGCACCGAAACGGACAGAGTGCGTCTCAAAACCCTCTGTGAGGACGGGGGCACACCATGTGGAACAAAGGCAGCACCAACACGAACGAATGCACCCAAGCACGGCCATTTCTCAGCCCTTCTTTAGAGGTTGCCCTGCCTTGGCTGACGATTTCCTTAGTCATGCGTTCGGTGGTCCCGACAAGGACAGCCTGTGTGGGGCATGGTAGGTATCGAAGGATGGTGGCGACCAAAACCGCCATGTCATGGAGGTATTGGAGTTGTCGACTCCGGCCATCTTTCTACTGGCCCTCGGTCGCCCCGTAGGCCACGTCTACAGGCTACAGTCGGCTGTCGCCGGGAAGGCCGATAGGGACACCCTTGGCAGCCCCCAGTCAGGGCGCCCGTGCTCAGAAAGGCACCGTGCCCCCCCCTGTAAAGAAACAGCGTCCAGGTTGTCACGGCTGGGACATCAATTGGCGCCAACCAGGTGGCCCCACCTGAATCAGGGCCTCGCCTGGTGCTACAGCAGGCAAGCAAAAACCCTGATGGGGCGTTGGAACCACGACAAGAAAACCAAGACCACACCACTACAAGAAGCACCACGACAAGAAACACGCTTACCACGACATGACGGACGACAATGCTCTTCCGAATTTGACTCGCCGCTGAACGAATCGTTTTGAAGGTGCCCCAAGCAAAGAAGATAATACCTTCCCGGATTCCATGTAAGCCTGGCAACCGCCAAGCGTGCATAGTCGTGCATAGTCGTGCAAGCTTGGATTGTCTTGTCGCTGTAAACAAACGCGTGTTGATGTACACACCAATCTTGTTACTGTTTCCGAACACTAGACGTGGTAACAGAGAACCCTGACGTGGCGTGATGCGGATTTGCAAAACGAGGGTTTGGATCAAGCAAAGAGACCTTGAGACGGCCTGGCTTTCTAGCGGGTTTGGGGTCCATTGCCAAGGCTGTGCTATGCCACGAGCTGAACTTGAACTTCGGTAGCTCTTGGAAAGGAGGGCTCCCGAACTCGACAGTAAGCATATTCTTCGCTCTGGATGATATATTGGTGCGCAATATTGCTGGCACCAACTCCTGGCCTATCTCCTGCCGGGCCTGCCGTGACCCCGAAGCCCCTGGCCCTCCCCCTAAACCCTAAACCCTAAACCCTAGAGTTGAAGGAAGGGTATGCCGAAGCACTCCACGCCCCCTTCGGCCATGCTGCTGTCGAAGCAGCGTACGCCCGAGTAAGAACCCGACAGCGCCTCCCAAGCTTGGGACTTCTCACTTAAACCTTGGGCATATGGGTTTGGGGCTTAGGGGGTCTTAGGGGTTATAGCAAGGTCTATGTAGGGTTTATAGGACAACCCTGTTTGTGCCAGGGTTTGAAGCACTGGCCGGGGGGAGGGGGGGAAGTGAAAAAACAAAACCCTTCCCCCACCATCCGTAACCCTGGCCAGCTGCCTCGCCGCCTTCTCCGGTTTGAGGATACTTTCGTCCATCTTACAGTCGTTGCTGATCACTATTGGTACTTGTAGCTACTACGACTATTCTTGTGATTATTATTACTGTGATTCCTATTATTCTGAGTAGTGCAGTGGGGCATCTGCAGAACGCGTCGTGTGCGTGTTGCCTGAAGACTCAAGCCCCAAACCTCAGGCTGCCAGGTCTTCTTGGTGAAGGCATCCTCTCACCCGAAACAGTTTAGGGTTTACTACTAATTGCCTAAGATCCCCAAAAAATGTTCTTCCTTAAGGGAACTATAGGGATCTTTGTTTGTTGTTTAAATATTCGTTTGGGGTTCTTAAGCAAATAATCGTGTAGGGTATAGGCTTAGGGTTTAGGGTGTAGCCTCTAAAAGAAACCGAAGCCCAGCCGAAGACCAAAGAGCCGAATCCTTGATGCGCTGTCGCATCTGCCGCCTGCGATCTGCTTTGCCATGGCTGCCAGGGCCGCGGCCCCTGGTGTCGGGGTTTAGGGTTTGGTTTAAGGGCCGTCGTTTTGGCTCCCTGTTAAGGGCCCGTAAGGGTTTGGAGAAGGTAGGTAGCAGTCTCACACCACACGGCAGGGATGCAATTGAAGTTCCATGCGCGAGCCCCACAAGACATGCCCAAAGTGTGTGGTTCCTCTTCTTCTCGCAGCAGCAGCCATTGAAGCACAGTATAAGCTGTGATATTTTGGGGTGTGGAGCTTGAAGGCCTAGTGTAGGTGGTTTTGAACCTTTGGATTGCGGCGTAGACGAGGATTCCGGGAGATCTAGGTTTTTTCTACTAGAGCTGTGTAAGTGCAGGACTTTCGGGTTTCCATGGTTCGGTTCGCGCGGTTCATCACACCAAGGCTTCACCCAACCAGCTGCTTTTAAACCGGACGGTAATCCGAGTGCTGGGGTCCCGCAGAAGCACGACAGTCGTTGGCTTTGAGTCAAGGTCTGAAGCGCATAATTCCGAATAAGGGTTCAGATGGTCACTCCATGCTTGAATGCCTGAGACTCTTCTATCAAAAAGACTCTTCAGTACCCTTAAGCAAGCCACGGGAACACCCACGTTTCGTCCGACACCAAGAATGTCGTGAACGCAGTGGTGAAACCGGAGATGCGCAACTCTGCTGTAAGGGTTAGGAACCCTTGGTCACACGTAGGTGGGGAGCCACTTGCAACCTCAGGAATTCTCGCCCTCGAAGCGCCCATGACTTCTGAATGCCTGAACTTCGTGTGTTGGAACTCTCGACACGCCAGGTGGGCTCCAGGAAAAGGAGGCCTTTGCCACGATGAACCCACCGGGTCCCTGTTGAGACATCCTTTAGCTTTACGTACTCATCGTCCTGCAGCACGATTGCCTCTTTCACAGGTGAGGCGCTATCATAGGGCCCAGGAAACCATATACAAGGACCCTTAACCAGCGTAGAGGCTCCAGAAAGTTTGTTCAAGACTGCCAGGTATTGCGTACAAGTTAGGCTGATGGAGGCTCCCTTCGTCCACTCGTCGTGTGGACCTGGGAACCACATGCAAGGGCCCTTGTCCACACGCCTTTCGCCAGATAGGACATTCTGAACAGTCACATACTCCGTGCCACTTAGGTGAACCGCATCCCCCTGCTCCCACTCTTCATAAGGACCTGGGAACCAAATACAAGGTCCTTTTTCAACCCTCCGAGCTCCGCTGAGCAGATCTTCCACATTGATGTACTCTGTGCTGGAAAGTCGGACGGCGTTGAAGACCCTCCCTTCTTCTCGAGGTCCTGGAATCCACACCAGGGGTCCGCGCTGCACCTTCCTTTCCCCAGTCTGCCGGTCCTCAATCAGCACGTACTGCATGTTACTCACACTCACGCCCTGACCGCTTGCCTGCATCTTCTCATAAGGACCCAGGAAAAACAACCGCGGCCCGTGAACGGCACGCTCGCTGCCATCCATAGCATCGCGTACGCGCACGTAGTCGAGCGGGCCTAATGTCACGGCCTTCACGATCGTGCAGGTCTTGAACGGATTGATGCACACAAGCCCAGGCCCATTCACAACTGTAACCGTGGTCAGGTGCTGGACGCGTAGCTGCTCATCCATCCGAAGGAATCGCACAGGCCAGAGCAAGTTCAGCAGCACGTTGAGTACCATCAAAAGGGTGCCGGTGCAAAGCTGGGCATAGCTCTTACAAGTCACCATGGGCTGCACCTCTCTGGGCGGAGTCCTTGATGCCTCGCTTGGCCGATACACCTCGAGCTCGCCCGGGGGCTCAGACTGGGGTCTCTGTGCTGGCACCCAGTCTGGGGGGCGGCCGCATGTCACGCACTTGTCGGCCTCGATGGAGTTCCGCTGCATGCACAGCTTGCAGGACCATGTTACAGCCATCCTCCTACTGAATTCCGGGGGACGCTCTTGCTTCGGTCAATGAGGTGGGAAGACTAGCTGCATAAATTTTAAATGTCTGTGCGGAGAAGGGCCTGCTTGTGGATGACTTTTACGGATGCCCCGCTTGATCTCACAAAAAACTGCGAATGCCTGGTAACCCTCGCAGAGTCAGAGACATACCAAGTTGACAAGGAAAGTGCCAGCAACGTGTGCCCGAACCAGCCGCAATCGAACCAAAACGCAGACCTTGTCCTGCCAACGCCCATGGCTGCCAGTCCAGGGAGTCTCTAGGAGTAGACCGCGCGAGGAGAAGCGTTCCGGGCGAGGAGAAGAGTTGAGCTTAAAATCTAACAACCCCACACCAAAGGTGGGAAAAAGTAAAAAGTAAAAAGGAACAAGTAAAAAGTCAAAGGACATAAGTAATAAGTAAAAAGTAATAAGCAGTAAAATAAGTAATAAGTCATCAGTAATAGTACGTACTCGTACCAGTACTATCACACTATGACTCTTGCGCTGCCACCGCCGACCCCCCCCGCCCCCCACGCCTGCGAGGCCATACCGCCTCGTGAAGAGGAGCCCCGCTGCCATTTCTAGGGGTCCTGCAATGGGCACTTCGGGGCCCACGGTTTAGGGTTTTTGGCACCCGCACCCGTATAGCTGGACGACGCTGCGCAGGGATTCTGGGTATGATGACCAGCAGGACAACCTGTGACGCAGGCTGTCGCCAAACTTCCCCCTTGTCGGCTTTTCCGTATCCATCACAGGACAACACGAACCCAGAAGCATCAACATGCCGCAGAAACAGACCCAAAAAAGCCGCGCGGGGGTGTTCGGGTTTAGGGATCCAGGTTCTGGTTGACTTTCGGGTTCTTGGATCTTTTGCCACAGCTGAGCCCCAAGGGATGCCAAAGTGAACGCGTAAACATGTCACTCGCGCTGCCAGTCCTGTTGGGATCATGAACAGCGTCGCCGGGATGAAGCAAAGAACGAAGCCGGCGCAGCCGAGCAGCCCCCACTGACAGGAGGGCAAAACATGTCGTGTTACAGTCAATGGCCCCACAAGAAAACAGTGCCTTGCACGCGCACGCACACAGGCCTGTAGTGGGACTGTAGATACAGTGCTTCCAGAAAAATACGGTGGTGACAGATGTTCTGCTGGATGGAGATAACTTCTTCGAACCAAGGCATAATCTGTGCTTTCAGCATGCAGCTACATACTTCGTGGAGAAACCGCGCAGCTCCAGCCATTGTTTGGCAGTCATGGAGTCATGGGATAGAATGTGAAGTGGGTTCGCAGCCATTTCAGGCTGAGCGGCTAATGCGGTTCAACTCCATGTTTCCGAAGTCTCTCTCTCTCTCTCTCTCTCTCTCTCTCTCTCTCTCTCTAGATGCTCTTCTAGGCTGTAAGATACCACTGCCTATGACTATGGACCTACACAAGTCCAAGACCTACACCCGATGCCCAAGGCCAAGACCTTTCTGAGAGCTTCGCCTGTCACCTTCAGCCTCAAAGCTAGTTCATGGTTGGGATAATATTCAAAATTCACGTTTATATTCCTTATTGGGTTTTAAGTACCCTTAAACATGTAAAGTAGTACTCAACTATGACAAAGAAAGCCACAGACCCAGCAACTAGCACCTGTTCGCTGGACTCTGCTGCCGCAGCCAGCCGAAGGAGAAGCGTCCTCCAGATTTAGGCGGTTGTGGAGCGAACCATGCTGTTGGGGATTGTTTATTCCTCCCCTCCTTTAAGCAAACTTACTCGCAGAGTTAGAGCTGAAGAGCCACTCACTGATAAAACGCTGGTGCTCCACGTGAACATGTTGCCGCTACGAGATCCTGAATCCTAAACTAGATTTAGTGCAGGGCACGTAGCCGTCGCAGACTGTCTCACTGTCACTATATACTAGAGTAGGAATACAAAATGTTGGGGGAGGAGGGGTCTTTGAAACAGATCGCTTCGGTATACTTCTGTGTTTGCAGCGGGACGTTCGCTCGCACAGATGTATCGGAACTGGATGTTCTGCTTGATGATCCTCATGTCGGTGTAGGCTGGTCGGGTTGTTGTAGTGGACTGCTTGCCTTCGCTTCGCGCGATGCTCGCACGGATTTGGGTTTGCAGGCGCCGACTTGGTTTCCGAGCCTCCGCACTCACGCCAGGCCAAACCTTAAACACCAGAAACCCTGGGCGGAGTCCAGAAGAAGGCAACTGACGAGCAAACATACGTGAACAAATCAACACAACAGTCAAATTCGACCCTTCAGTCCTCCGATCCGAGAGCAAGACAATGGCGCCTGGGCGGAGAGCATGCCACGGCTCAGAATCACGGATAGCACAAGTTGCAACCTCTGGTGCTGGTGGGCATTCGCTCTTCTTCACGAACTTGCAATGTCTTGTGCCCTGCGCCTCTTGCAGTGTGCCGCCCTTTTGCTTCAGGCCAACTTCAGGACAATTCCACCAGCTGCCTCCCAACCTACTCCTTGCAATTGGCACGAACCCCCAATGGCTCCAAAGGCACCTAGGGCGCAAGGCGCTGCGATGGCCACCACGCGCCGGAACATGCTGCAGTGGGGTCGAAGCTTACATCGGCCCGGCAACTTCGGTGTTTTGGATTTGGACCCGTTGTACGAGTTGGGATCAGGACCGAGACGGCTATAGAGTTCAACCGCTAGGATTTATAAACCCCATTAAGTCATTAAGCCTCCATAGCTTCAGGGCACGATCCACCCACATGGTACGGCACATCTTTCATAAGACAGGTCTCTGCTCAGTGCGTGAGCTCCAAGAAAAGCGGTAAGAGCGACAGGCCGGTAGGGGCGGCTGGTCCTTGCATGGCAACCACTTTAGACCGCGCGCCTCAAGTTCAAAAGACATAGCCCTGAACTTCCAGGGTTGAAACCCTGAGAACTTCCAGCGTGCCCGTTTTTGTCCTGTTTGGTCCATCAGGTCTTGATTCGCCTAAAGGAGTGGCCACTTCTGGACTCCAAGCTACGCAGACAAAATATCCGCAGAAGGCTCTAAGACTCTAAGGTGACGAAGGGGGCCCGAGCTGAATCGGGATTCCGTCGACTCGGGGAGCTAAGGAAATCATTGGGATGTTTCGGAGGCTTAGGGCTTGGGTGTGCTGTTTGGGAGTTCTCTAGAGCTTGTAAGGTAAGAAAAAGTATGCTGGTAAGACTCTTAGACACGGAAATGTGGGCTGGGGTCCCTGAGTCGACGTGGTACTACAGCTGCAGGCGCGTTGCAAAGCTACGTCCGGGGAGCCCTGAAGCGATTTGGGGCTCTGGGGTTTTCAGGGCCGCGTAGCAGACCCCCCCCCTGACCCCCGTGAAAAAGCCTGCCGCGCTGTTGCTTAACATTGACCAGACTGTGCATCATTCAACCAGCATATCCTCTGCAAGGCAGTTTAGGATCTGCGCTCCAAGATCAGACATGCTGGAAGGAGACAGAAAATTGAGCGAAGGAATGGCCACCACTGCGTTCGACAAGCAGGCGTGGCGATCACTTCTCCTGCACAACAGATGCTTGCCGTTGCTTCACCTACTTGGCAAGCAAGAAACATCATAGCACTGTTCAGCGATTATCAGTTCAAGATCTGAAAGCCCACACCCTGAAGATAACAACATGAGTAAGGTCTTTACCACCTTGCGCAGCAAGCTTTATGCTCCGTCAAGAACCCGCCCAAAACCTGGTAAGCCGCTTGGGGCCGAGCCCCTTGCCCATACATGATGCTGCTGCAGCACGGAAACCTTACGAGAACCTGTGCCTAGTTGCCACCTTTGGTGGCCATGTGTAGGGTCTTGCTTCGATTGCACTTGGGCTTGATCCGTCCATTTTGCTATTCCAACATCGATTTGGAGCTTGGGGTTTATTTCTTGTCATATGAACGCCTACCAAAGTCCCCGCGCAACCCGAGCAGCAGGCAATTCCTCGTTTTGCTAGTCCCTGCGCTCTGCATCATGCCGGTATGCAGTTCAACATGCAGATTCTGCAAGTCATTCATGCAGAGCTGCATGATCTCAGACAATAACCGTACCCGCTCAGAGGTACCGGTAGCAACTTGTGCACAGAATTTGGGGAGCAGTGGACGAGCCGATCAGCGGAAGATGCACCAGCCTAGGCTGACTCGTCGTCGTCGGCTGTCTCATCTGCCACTTCCTAGGAATGGCAACCCGCACCCCTAGCTACACCCTAGTGGTCAGCATCGGCCTAAACCCTAAGCCGCTTCACCATTAAGGCTGCCCTGGCCCTACTAGGAGCAACTGCAGATGACTGCGTCCAGGCTCAAGGTCTCTGGCTGCACGCAGCAGCAGCCCAGTGCCGGAGGCGTGCCTGTGAGCTTTGACCTCGGTTTCGGGGTTTGGGATGGATAACTTGAACCGTATTCTGGGCCCATCCGCATAAGTTGAGGATGCAGATGGTACTTGCTGCGGCAGGTGGACTTTTTGCGCACATGATTCTTTCTTGCACGCTGTTGACCCTGAAACCAACTTTCTCAACCAAAAATCAAAGCCTTGCCAACCTCTCCTAGGCACGTGCGAAAGGACAGACGCGCGCGTCAGGGGAACCGCCTCCTCGGGATTGAGCCTCCGTGTTTGGAGTGTGCGGTGAATAGTTCAGCATGGCAGCATGCACGTCCTATACAGCGCTGCTATGCTTCATCTTGACCTCGCAACTCTCAGCCCACCCAACCCTTTTTTCCCGCAGAGTCAGCTGACTCTGAGGGAACGGGAGTTGGAGGAATCTTGTGCCACCAGGAGGCATCTCTACCCCGTTCAGCTGCGGGAGAGGTGTGCCAGGGTCCACTCCCTTGCCAAGGAAGACGGCGAAGGCCCAGACTGCCAAGACCTAAGCTCTGTTAAGATCAGAAGATCGTGCGTCGCTTCCCTATGCTTCACACATAGACCGATCTGAAGTGCTGTAGAAAGTGCATTTCCGACCAAGGTCCTAAACCAGCCCGGGCCATATGCCCGTACACTGGCCGTAGGGCCCGTAGGGCCCGTAGAGCCCGCGAGGGCCGTGCAGGCCCGGAGCCCGCAGGAGCCCGTAGGAGCCCGCAGGAGCCCGCAGGAGCCCGTAAGCCCTTAGAGCCCGTAGAGTCCGTCGATTCCTTAAGGCCCCTAAGGCCCGCAAGCCTCTCAGGGCCTTACGGCCGTAAAGCCCGCGCAAACCCGTACGGTCCTTCGTGGACGATGGAAGCTTCTCAATCCCGAAGGCAGCCATGGGCTGCGCGGAGGACCCGGCAGGGCGCTGGCTAAAAACCCGTTAGGTCGCCCTTAGAATGAGATACCCCAAACATTCGGGCAAGTCGCAGCAAGGTATGTTTCAGTCTGAAAGGCGAAATCGTCTTCGGAGATTTTGCGTGCCTCAAACTCCGACCCCTCTTCAAAGAGAAAGTTTGCCTCCAAAGAAGGCTCGATTAAGGGTTCACAGGAAGGCCTTGTGGGGGTTCCAGTCGCAATTATGCAAAGGTGCTATAATTTTCCAGGTGCCTGAAAGGTTTTTGAAACGAACCTTGCCTTGGCAGGGTCTCCCAAGGGCCCCACCACCGAACCTCAAACACCAAGGCCTCCAAGGGCCTCCTTCGAGGGGCATCGGATCACGCGAATGCTTGTAGCCTGCGCCCAGAATTCCAGGAGACCCTAAGCCCGCAAAGGTCAAGACGAGAGAGGAGCGCAAGCGGTCGTCAACAAGTCGGGGCGCGCCTGCCTGGGTGCCTTTAGCAACAGCGCGCCCCCTCAATGAGACACCCTCATCCCTAAACCATCCTAAACCCCAAACCTATTCAACCAAGGCGCCAAGAAGCGATGCTGCACAAAGATGCAGTCGAAGAGACCTACGACTCGGCTCGCATTCGCCATCTGTAAAACTTGTTCGCTATCACAGGGGTCGGAAATTCCGACCTTATCGTGGAGAGGGTTTAGGTATCGGAGAGGTTCCCGATGCTTCACGCTCTCGAGCCGAAATGGGCAAAGATGTGAGCTATGCCTGTAAAATCCTGCGGGTGCCAAGCAAAAGCACATCCACGCAGTCGAACTCCATGCCTGTTTCAGGGATCGCGAAAAGGAGACGCCCTCAGTTCTTCGGCTAGGCATTTAAGTTTGGGGTTCATTTCGCGCCCCAACTTTTGTCAAGAGTCCGTGAGCAGGTGCTTTTTTTGGCTTCGGCACATCAAGAGGCGTGCCTTGCCCCTCAACTGCAAATCAGCCATGGCAGGCCGTGATGGTGAAAATAAAGGGCCCCTGCACTGCTTGCACTGGAAAATGGCCAGGATAAAGGTCATCTGAGTCAGGGGGTTACATATGGTTACATGTACACTGAATGCATCTAAAGGCTATATCAGGACACTCAACTTCAGCATCTGGACCCGTGACCTGAAGAGAGCGATCAATGCTCCCTTGCTCCGTTGTTCCAAGAAATAGTAAAACACACCCCACCCGCATGTAGGCTGTACAGTACATGGGGTGCAGGACAAGGTGAAACGTTTCAAATGACTCTAAGGCAGATGGAGATTCTTCCAGAATTCACTCTGCACCGCTGTTCGCAAAGCTCCGACAACGGATCTCAGAAAGTATTTTGCACCTAGAGATGGTGCAAAGCAGCTGTCAGCAGCTGTGACTCAGATCAGACACCCGCTGGTTCAACCTCCGGTTTGGCTAAGCCCCAACCAGCAACCAACCCCGCGCCAACATTCTCAGGTGCTCGCTACACCCAGGCGTTTGATGCCTGGTGACAGGCAGCCTAGCGGTGCTAACGGCTCTCGTTGGATACACAAAAGAGAGATCCAGTGGGTGTGGGCGCGTGGGTGCGTGGGAGGGTGCGTGGGTGGGCGTGTGGGTGTGTGCACGTGCCTGTGCCTGCCTGCGCGAGCTCATGCGCGCGCGTTGATGGCCTAGGCTGCCTATGTAAAGTTCGAAGCCGGGCTCGAGCACACCCGAACCATGCTGTGAAATGAAAATACAACACCATTTCTGCACCCACGCCGAGAGGCTAGCTGCGGCCTGCCGCCTCACGCAGCGACAGGACGCTTGCTTGTGATGTGAATTGCCACAGAAGAGACAGAGGACCTGCGCGGCCAAAACTGCCATGATGACGAGGAAAACTATCAGCTGAGTAGCTGAATAGCTCCTTGGCTGGTTTTTGTAATTGCTTTGTATCACACAATGAAACAGTACTGGTATCCGAAGTGTCCGAAGTGGCACTCGGCAAAATGCTAGTCGGGGCTCTCCACTAAAGAGACGAGGGCGGCCCAGATTAAACCGCCGCATACGTAGCTGTACTCGAACGCTAGCGGACAGCATGTGCATGCCAGAACCTGATGTACTGGTCCATCGCCGTGTGATAACACAAGCTTGACCATGCGGAGAAGGATGGGGTAGGTCAGCGGGAAGGCCATCACTATGCAAAGTGCCCATCCAACAGCTTGAACTACCATGTACTGAGCGACGGAACTATAGCCAGACAGCCGAGCAGATTCGAGACATGGCCCATTGTCGCAGCCGAGAATGTTCACAGAAGAGTAGAAGATCATAGGCAGGAAGGCCGCAAGACACATCTGCCAGGGCACCTCCAGCTCGTTCCCGATCTGGGCTATCACGGACTCACGCAGGGTGCCCCTGATGTAGGTGTTGAAGCGGTCCAGGGGATCACAAAACTCCAGGGCAAGTGTCTGAAGCTTGACCTGAATAGCCGAAGTCGTCTAGAGAAGCGTATGAAATCAATTGCTCTATGACTCTATACCTATCTCGTTCCATCTGTGTGTTTACTTTACTTCAGACTTGAATGACTACTCTAACGCGGACGTCATGTCATGGGACGGGATAGACATAGGCAAGGCGTCACCGGGTTCTTCAGGCCTTTGGGGCTGTGCTGGCTTTGGAACTCACTTTCGTTGAACAACCGAGGGCCTCTGTGCACAGCTCCCCTTCATCGACGCTGTCGGGGCCCTCGCGTGTTGACCACGGATGTTCGCTTCTAAACAATTCTTGAACCTGCTGCTGAACAGCCTGGCGGTCGGCCGCTACCGTACACTTCGCCGCTCGCACGTCGAACTCAGCCATCTGCTGCAACATCAGCTAGTGGCTGCGTAGCTTCATGCGAAATGAGTAGAAGCTTGGGATGGACGCCGGGAGGGAGACGACACTGCAGATAATCCAGATGATAAACCACGCGGCGAACTTCTGCAGGGCCTGATTCTGACCCAAGATTGGCGCCACAGCTCCGATGATGTAGTTCATCCACGCCGCGCTCCAATTGGGGAACACGTGCTCCTTGGTAGCCCAGTAACCAGATTATAACAAGGGCACCCTTCTTTGGCTAACCTATTTTATAAGGGAACCCATAACAAAAACAAAAGGGGGGTAAAGGGTACCACTGGGCCACCAAGGCTCCAAGAGATCCAGGAGGCTGGCGCTCAGAAGATCCAACAGGATCGAGGCAAGCAGCCATGGGGCCAACCATAGCGGGAGCACATCGACGTTCTCGACGGCCCCATACCGTGCAAATGTGGCCAGCTCTAGGTGGCACCAAAGCCGGTCGAAGTAGGTGTCCTCTTTGTGTGTGTGTGTGTGTGCTACTTGCTGGTCGTTGTTTCTGTGCTTCTGTTTCTTGGGCTGCTTATTGTTTGTCTTTTGTACTTGTTGTGCTTTGCTGGTAGCTTCCTTCAAACTGAAGACATGAAGATGATATGCAAAATCTCTTCTCTGTTCAGCAAATGTCATCCCACAGGACCAACATCCGAGACGAGCGCGCAACGAAGACCGGAAGTGATGCGATTTGTTGCTCTTTCCGTTCCAGGTCTGATTGATGAACGCAGAGCCTGTCCAACCACACGACAGGTGACCACAGCCCGCCGGAGAGCTGGTGTCCCCAGAAGAATACGGCAAAGAATGCTGCCATTGGCAAATAGACAAGGCAGGGGAGGCCGAGCAAGCTGCCTCCAAGTGATAGCCAACCTCCGAGTGCTATCAAGCCACTGGCCACAGTCAGCCACATCAGGGCGGCGCACTTTATTGCCATCGACAGGTTAAAAAACCTCAGCGGCCCAGTATGAACAGAATTGCATGCTTTATTAGTGTTCTGGAGTTGCTGCAAACATTAGCAAGCAATAGCACAGCACAGTTCCCAACGGCAAGTGGCATGCACAGCGCCAAATACTTCTCCCAACGTTCTGCTCGCCAGGAGTGACTGATGAAAAAGTCCACGCGGTCTGTCTCCCTGGATTTTTGGAAAAGGGCGTCGCCGGCAGTTTGCACTTCCTGCATCGTCGGGAAGCGGACCATCTGGTGGTTAGTTACTGCCCAGAGAGCTGGAAGGCTCTGGTCGAAGACAATCCCGAAACCTGATCAGCGCAGTTGGCATCGAGTAGCAGGGCTTTTGGGGGTTGGGGGGGCTCTGGGGGGTGTCGTGCGCCACGTTTTTCTGCACCGGTCGGAATGTAGCTGGCTCCCAAGGCAAAGGCAGCCAAGGAGCGCATGAGCAACTGCCCTACTGTGACGCTGCGGAAATTGCCAGACTCCTTCACCTCGTCGAAGGCGTCTGGGTCGCGCAAACGAGTGAAACCATCATTGTGGCCAACCCTACCAGGCATTGCGGACGTCTAGGTCGCACGTCTAGCAAGCAAGGTACTTGAGCCTGAGCATGACAAGCTGAGTGCAAGCCCTCGCTCATTCCCCCTCATTATAGGGCTTTGCATGCAAAGGAACGGAAACATGCAAACAGTATGCAAAAATTGGTTGCCCGGTCTGTTTGGTTTAGGCTTGGAAGGACCCCCTCGACATGGGACACTGAAGCTGCAGTGCCATGACCAAATGCCACGCCGACTGGAACAAAAACCACCTTACAGTACAGCCCAAAACGATCCAGAACGGTTGATGGGAGTGTGTAAAGTGTTGAGGGCATTGCCCCCCCCCCCCCCCCCCCCCCCCCCCCCCCCCCCCCCCCCCCCCCCCCCCCTTCCCCCGCCCCCGATGCCGAGTCTAGTGTCCTCATGTGTCCTCCAAAGAGCTCCAAGGTCTCACCTTTGCCGGCGAGCTCCTCCTCACGAGGCTGCAGCCCACTAGCTCTCCGGAGTTGCACATGTTCCGAACCCAATGGCCAGATCGATTTTAGCGACTGAAGACATGGGGACATGGCAGGGCGCTCATTTTCACCACAGCCCGATCATCTAAGCTTTCCGTCCAAATACGGGGTCAGGAAGTCATAAGGGTGAAGCCAGCGGTTCACGACCCACCTGGCAGACTGGCAGAAGCGCTTTCCGAGCACCTCCAAACTAAAAGACGTCATGGCCATGAAGCGTCTGAGGCTCAGTGTGAGGCTGTCAGGCATGTACGGGGCCGACCATATGCCCAAAAACCCTAAACCCTAAACCCCTAAACCCTAAACCGCTAACCCCTCTGACGCATAGGGTCCCGGCTTCTCACCCTCTGCGACGGGTAGGGACTCATGCCACGCCCCCTTGCTCTTCACGCCACCTTGGGCAGCAAAAAACATCTCATGCTAGGGGAGTAGTGATCATTTCTACTATATGTATATGTATTTGGAGGTGTTTTTCTATGCTACATATATAAATCTATACCATATACCACGCAACTACACTACACTGACACAAAAAAAACCGTTTGCTGCCGGCTCAGGGTGTTTCAGGTTTGGGGGGTCAGGGTTTCGGAATCGTCTGAGGGCGCTCCCTTGCGCACCGTATGCTCTTGCTTGCGATTAAACAGGTCGGGGCAAACCTCGTTCTGCTGCGTTCTGTCATGACGCATCTGTTCTCTAAACCCTAAACCCTAAACCCTAAACCCTAAACCCTAAACCCTAAACCCTAAACCCAAAAACCTAAACCCTAAGCCTTGCGAACGCGAATTTCTAGAGGACTCGGAAGCGCAAGATGCCGAAACGCCGGGCCAAGAATCTGAAGATGCCGTGCTGAAGGGCCGTATAGTTGGCGTTCCACCAGAGAAGAGCCAAGCCTTTCCTTCAGTGGGATGTTCCCCCACTATAATGGGGAGTACGATACTCCCTACTGAGGACTGTGAGTATAAGGACGAACACCCCAATATCCATTATTTGCTTAAGTACCCCTCAAAAATAAGAGTGGTGCGACCCAAACAGTGAGTTGCCACCCAAATTTCCCAGCCATGCAGGTTTTGGGGGTCTGAAGAAGAAGCCTTCAACCAGCGGGCTTATACGCATCGGCACTAGGTCCCCAACATCTGGCGCCCGCCGATCTTGCAGCACTGATGCTCTAGCTGGGGTTGCTATTTTCCCTTCCCTGCTCCGGGCCGATCTACTTGCGCAAGCTTTCTTGATGGCGATTGAAAGCGAAGCCTTCCTTGAGGGGACACTCTCCGTAGATATAGCCATCAGCCAAGCATCTGCGGGGTGATGGTTAAATCCCAATGGGTGAAGTGAGTCTGCCCTCCTTCAGAAAGCATGACATGCGTGCGGAAGCAAGCGAATCTAGCAACGCTGAAAAGCTCCTTGGGGGACATCGTTCAGGTACATGAAGAACGTGCCCATCCGCCCACCTTGCACAACGTGTCGACGCACGGAGGTGGTATGAGGTGGCAGCTGCGACAGCTATGTGGGGGGTTTACGAAAATGAGGGACCCCTAAAATAGACCCCCAAATAGTAGGGTTCCCTGGAAGCTCCCATGTAGCAACTGCTACCAGACTCCGACCTACAAGAGCCCCACGCTGATGCTGCCGGTTGCTTGCTGCAGGCGATCGGCGTCTATTTGCATGCATCCAACGAAAGACCGACCGGACAGGGTGAGTTGCGCATACGCATAGCCGGACGGGCTGCGCTGCAGGGCTGGGAGTTACGTTTCAGGGTTCAATTTCCTTGCTCGTGGGTCATTCTGGCAGGTGGCCGCACACTTGCTCCTCCTGCTCGTCCAGGTAGTCCTTCTTACAAGGCAGAGGCTCGTGCGCCTTCAAGCCGTTTCTCTGAGTTCTCCGCATGTGCACGGTGAATGCGCAGGGATGGGGTTCAAGACAAGGCACCCTAAACCCTAAACCCTAAACCCTAAACCTGCAATGATACTTCATCGATGCTCGTCTTCAACTTTCGGGCCTCGGCTGCAAGACCGAGTTTTGAGCTGCGCAAACCTCTGACTCCTCTTCGGGGGCTGTTACTACTTGCCATGGTCCTGCGAAGCAAGGAACAGCGTAATCTCACGCAGCTGGCCCCTTATTAGCGCCTGCTTCGAGTAACTAGCCCTGAGCACGCCATTGCACGGAACAAACAAGCACACGTCCTTTGGGCTGCACCCTCTAAAGCCCGAAGCTGAAAGCCCTGGTTTAGGGTTTAGGGTTTAGGGTCATTCAAACCCAAACTGCCAGCACAGTCCTGGTGGCCCTGGAAGAACTGACCCGACTGGTAGCGAACCACCTGCGCAGGAAAGGACTTTGGTCGGGGGTTTACAGGTGGGCCTACTGCAGCCGCTCAGCATCCAATAAAAGCCGAGCGAAGCAAATAGCTCTCTTAGGACTAGGCAGGGCTGTTGGCCTGAACGGCTCCCTTGGAGCCAACCCAAGCCAGTTCCGACCTTCCCTAAATCTGAATGTTGTCGCCTCGAAGTGCACGGCAAATCTAAACGACTCCAAACCCCCTGCGACATTGCATGAGTTCTCAAGCACCCTGTCTAAAAAATGCGATTATCCATACGCAGCGCCACATCTCGATGTGTTGCATCAATTTCCAGTTGCTATTGCGGGGAGGCTGCACAGGACAGCTGCATTCCGCCTACTGCGACGGCAGCCCGTAGTGAGTAGTAGTGTCGAACCAGCAGCACTAACACAAGTGGCATCGAGGGAAGGGTTTCTGATTCTATCACATCCAGTGTTGTCGACAGCCAATGCATCAATCTTTGCCAAATAAACGCAGAACTCTCGAAAGTGGCAGAAAAGAAGTGATATGTCGGTTTCGTGTGTGGGAAGCTCAGCCAACATTAAGCTGTCGTGCATTCCGCAGAGGAAGCTAGCTCATGCTCAGTTGCCTCAGCCAAGATGGTTCCTCCCAATTGAACGCCCACTCGCGATGGGAACCATCCACCACGCACCCCTAAACCCT